CACACACACACACACACACACACACACACACACACGATGAGTATGTTAGGTGTCCATTGACAGTTTTCTTGATTTGACATCATCTAGCACAGGGAATAAAACAATTTGGGGTAACTCATTTTTGTATGGTCCCAGCTGCCACTGCATTTTTGTGCAAGATGCACTGTTATTTTAATTTGGTTATAAAGATTTTATGTGTAGGCCTGGCCGAGCCGTTACAGTATTCACCATCAACACCGGGCTTGGTTTGAAAGAATAAAGAATTCTCTGGACCCTGGAACGTGCAGAGTGAATCGCTGAAGATGGTCACATTTTAGTACCTGCTAACTGCATCAGTGTCTCCTTGAATCGCTTTCAGAACTTGTTTCCCAAACTTGAAATACACTTTTTTTTTAACAATGTCGTTTTAAAATCTGTCATTCACACTTCATCATGCACAAATGACAAAATTAGAGCCATCATGTGAACAATACTGAAATAAACTATCTTGCAGTCATATGGGCAAGCCTATAGGTAAGAGTACACTTCAAGCAGAACAACATCCATGTGTTTTACACTTTAAGGATTGAATTGAGTCTCCAGATTTGCCATAGCAGTTCTTTATGGGCAACTGAATGGTCAGTGCAATTTTTGGTGAAGCATTTGTACGCTTTTGTAGAGGAAGCACTTAGCTCTGCTCTCATTTAAAATGTTGAACTGATTTTCCTCAAATTTGTTTGGATACCTTAATAGTAGTGGTTCTCAACCCCCTCAGACTCAAGGCCTCCCTTGGAAAATGCCAGCTCTTGTCACTCATTTTTTGACTGCAAAAAAATACTAGACCAATTCTTCTGTTGCAAAGAACTCAGAAAGACCACGACACATCAGAAAGCTTTTAACACTGCTTGAAATCTCTGCATTTATCTTGTGAAACTTGTTTCCACACCTCACAGTGGCACCCAGCAGCACCCTTGAAAGGCTCTCAAGGCACCCACAGGTCCCTGATTGAGCAACAACACAGCTCCAATCCGTCAGATCCATCCATTTTTAGATGCTGCCAGATTGCCTCTCTGTGTTGTTTATGCTACAGTAATGCCAAGAGACCAACATGAAGATTGGGATCCATTATGCATCTAGATGAGATGCATACAACAACTTGGAGACAAACCCTGCCAGGAAGAGCTTAAATTCCATACAAGAGGCAGGAGGGAACACAGGAATGTAGAGAAATTAAATGACCCACTGAAAGTCAGTGGCAGAGGTGGAAACAGTAGCCAGGTCTCCTAATTCCCATGCTGAATAGCTCTGGGATCACATGAAAAGACTCCCTCTGTATTTAGTAATTGTTACATGAGGCCTCTCTTGGCCAGTAAAGCTGCTCAGGCTTGATATCTAAGGATATGGAGGTGGCCTGAAGGGAAAATAATAATCAGGCAGCAGTCTTAACCACAACCATAAGTATGATACACCTGTGTGCTCGCATACAAGCTTCATTACTTTAATCATTTTTTACCAATTGTCTCCAAAGTTAGAGCAATCCCTGACAGGTCACCTACTCACATAAAGCTTCCTGAAAAAGTAGAGCGTGCCTATCTCTCTGCCTTCAGTTGCCATGTTTGATTTACGTATGCATACATTTATGGCAGCCACCCTGAGCCTGTGTCACTTATTGAAACAGAGGGGCATACAGGGTTTGAGTTTCAGAGGTGCAGATCACTTGCAGGGTCCGTTGGCTTCAGCTGGAACTGGGGATACCCACCACTTCCGCAAACTAGGCCGAAAAAGAATTAACCCAGTAAGTGTAAAGGTAGCCGATTGGTTTTGCTGAATGAAGGGGTGGGGAGAAGAAGGAGGATGTGGGTTGATGGATTTGGAAGGTAGTAATTAAGGATGAGAAGGATGTGCGGGTGGTGTGTGGGGTAAGGACTGGTGTAACT